GGAAGAAAAATTGAGAAGATCAACCTCAAACATATGAGTGAGAAAACAGACTTTTATTTACAAATGTAAACCTTTGAATTACACGCCTTATCTAATTCAAATTAATCGTGAATAGAACGAAGAGGTAGGGCAACGATAGGTCAAAAAGGCTTCTCTGATAGATTTCCTTGCCTTTTGGATATGCTATAATATATAGCCTAGCATGATAGGATATGATGTCAAAAGTTAGAACATAACTTAGGATCTTGAGAAAAATGAAAAACAAAAATTACATAAAAAAAGAAAAATTTTATCTAATTTGTTTTTTTTGGACCGAATAAGTAATTTTATTGAATTTCAATACGACACATAGATTTTATTATTAGTAATAAATATAATGGTTTACTATTAACAAGGAACCTAAACTAATGAAAATTTGATTTCAAATATTGTATATGATTATCATAGATTACCAAAATATATTGCTATTTATGAGGATATAATATTGATTATTAGTAAATCGTATAAATTTAATAAATATACCATGAATATTGAATGAATTTCTTGATTCATAGGGGTAAAACGCGCTTTTATATGATTTAGACAGAGAATTTATGAGATGTAAATAACACAATAAAGGTTTATATTGAATATTTTCTAAAAATAAATCGAAATTATAAAAAACAATACATTTATTCATTGAAACTACTTGGACAAATATGAAACAAGCATTCAGGCAATACTTTTGAGACTTCAACGCATCTGATAATTTTTATATAACTTCACCTCTTATGCTTAGAGTGGAGGTATTGAGATCGTATAAGTATAGATGAGCTCACATTCAGATATGATGTGTGAACTTCTGTTTTCACTGCAATTTTGAATCAGAATAAACTCAAAACAAGAATAAAATGATATACTCACTCTCTAAATGTGTTCGAGATTTAAAGTTGTATGAATAAAACGATTCATCTTTCGAAGCCTCCCATTTAATGAGAGACTTCGAAAGATGAATGTATTCATGTAGATGAAATACTATATATGACCATGTGTGATACTAAAGATATCAAAATGTTCATTTTTAAGTGCAATAGAAGGGTTATCTCTCGTAAAATCTCAATTTAAGGAAGATTTAGAAAGAACTCCTTTCCTAAGTAGATAGTGTGTGGTTTCTGTCTTTTGGTTGATCAGGAACTATGAAATTAAGTCGGACAGAAAGAAGTTCTTTCCAAAACAGACTCCAAATGAGTTGTTCGAAAAGAACTTCCTTCTGTATATGGATAATTGTAGTTACCGCACTGAAGTATGTGATTGTGATGATGGAGTTCTCGATAAATCTAAAATCGGATTAAGATTAATTGAAAACTCAAGTAATTCTTTGAAATCTTGTGTTGTCTGGCACTATAATAACCAAAGAATGAGAATATTATGTTGAATGATGAGTACGTGTGCTCGGCATTCGCCGAGCGAATTGAGTTTAACGTACTATGAAAAGTGACAAATTTGGGCTTTTTTTCCTAGGGTTATGATCTCTTCCTTTCTGCTCAATACGACAGAAATGAAAGAATGAATTTGTACTCCCTAATTGATTACTACAATCTGTATCTATCTTTAACATAGAATTAGCTGCATTGTGATTTATACTCCAGAATTATTCAATTTAAGATCAACCTCGTAAATTTTAATCATATTGCACCAATACTCCTACGTTGAGATAAGAACATGATTATACATACCAAAGCCCCATATTAAAAATCAAAATTTAGCACCTCCATTATGCAACCACATTATTCGTCGCAAATAAGTATATTTACGCATATTATGATGCATATTCACACAACTCGTATACATGAAAAGTTATTAAAATCAGACAAAATTATTGCAATAAGGAAAAAAAACAACTTTATTATATATGTTAGTAATGAATTACAAATATTTCTACAAAGAATGCTCAATACTTCATATAATCTTCGAATATTTCTTATTACAAGTTAATACATTTTGACTCGAACATGATAAACAAAAGCTGACACGCTGATTACTACATTTATGAAAATATAGTACGTTTCCATTCATCTGTTTACTTGTTTTTGTTGGAATAAAATCATTTTTTTTTTCTTTCATGAAATAAGAATTTTGCTGCGAAAGCAATATCTCTAACAATAATTAATACATTACGTCAACTCTGGAATGAGTATTTATCAAATATGATATCAAAATCAAAAATTAGTTGTTTTTTATGATTAAAAACGATGTAAATTGATTATTTAACTAATTATCAAATACTTTGATTTTCCAAATTTTTTTGAAATTGATTTTTTCATGTGAAAATTCAAATTGTTTAATTTCATTTTTGAAATTTTGAATTTTTTTTGGAATTTTGAGTTGATCAATTCAGCAGAATTGATAATGCTATTGCTTTAGGGCATACCACAAGGTGATGAATAAAAGGTGAACATTAACAAATTATTTTAAATCACAAATATCATCCTCATCAACTTTAATTCTAAAAAGAACTGTACTGAATTATGAAAATGCATGATTTACATTATTAAAATCTTTGAATGAAAATAGTACAAGATAAGTTTTTATTCATTTTTAATTAGATTTAAACGAAAAACTACTCCATATTAAAATTTAAGTCGAGAAATCGTATTTTGTTCTTATTTGTTAGCATTTTGTAGACATTCTAATCTTGAATTAATTTGTTACATGATATTATTAACAAATTTAACTGAAAAAATATGTTAATATGGAATAAACCATGATTATATAAGCTATCAATGCTATATATAGGTCAGGTAAGTGGGGCTTCCAGGCGCGTTGCGCCTTCTAGCCCCTAAGAAATTTTGCCCAAGACCCAAGAGGAGGACCGAACCCCAGCCGACCAGCCGGTGACAAAACCAAAACCGTTGTTATTTACATCATATTAATGATGTCACTTTTAAAAATGTCACTTTTTGTTTCACTTTTCACAAATTATATATGTTTTCATGCTTTGTCACTTTTCTGTCACTTTTCGGGTAAAAACATTTTTATTATTATATATAAATGAATTTTACAAAACCACCGTTACCGTTCTTTGGAAATAAGAGTAGATGTAAAGATATTATATTGAGAGAACTTAAGAAACTACGAATGGTCTAACATTTGTAGATTTGTTCGGTGGAAGTTTCTATATATCCCATTTATGTCATACAATATTCCCAGACTCAAAGATTATATGCAATGACTTCGACAACTATATGGACCGTCTCAAACATATTCCAGACACAAACAACATATTGAAAGAGTTAAAAGAAAAGATACCTATAGGTAAGATGGAACGTATACCATTAGATAAGAAAAATATTGTGAGAGAGGTTTTGAAAAAAGCAGAATATATAGACTGGGATAGTATATCTGCTAGATTATTATATAGTGGTGCTAGAAGAGTTCATGACATTGAAACACTTATGTCAAAAGTTTTATATCTTAACTATACAAATGTTTTCAAAGAGGACATAGAAAATATATTGAGGGTATAGAGTTTGTGAGATGTCATTGGACAGAGTTGTATGAAAAATATAAAGACAAGGAAAATGTTTTCTTTATAGTGGACCCGCCGTTCTATAACACATGGGATTTTCAATACCAAGTTGACTGGACTTTGAGAAGCCTTTCCCCCTTATAGAATGAGATAGGACGGTTATTTTACAAAACTGACAACACTTTGACCGAGTAGTTTTTTGTGCTGAACAAAAAGTGTCATATAAACATCTGTCAAAAACCGCTTTTTAACTTCACTTAAAATGCCACGTAAGCTACGTAAGAATATACGTAAGAGGAAGAGAGCATTGAAACATCCAATAGTAAAACTGACACCACAACAACAGTTGCAACAACAAATGATGAATGACCCCACTATGTTGCAACAAATGTCAAGCAACCCTATGCTTTTAAACCAAGTTATTGGTGCACAGAGTGGGGGTTTAAGAGCGGCACTTTTAGCGAAAATGGCAGGCTATGGTGGAGCTGCAGACGGAACAGCTTATAACCCTCAAAGTCAAATGAATTTGAGTTCACTCAAAATCAAATAACAGATGTCAAAAAGTCAAACATAGACATACAGAAACAAATAAGTGAAAACGAAAGAAACTAGAATATGACAGACACACAAAGAAACTCAATGAGTTAAACGTAGAGAAAAAGAAGAAAGAAGAACAACTGAAAGAACTAAGTACAGAGGAATATGCGAAAAAGTGTCAGAAAAGCAGCAGAAGTAGCAAAAATGGAACAAGATGTTATAAATTTGAAAAACATACTACTCAATATAAAGTACTGAAAGATGAAGAGATAAAACAAAAAGCCCTGAAGACATATATGGATAGCGATGAGTATAAAAAAGAAGTTGAAGCAAATGTAAAGCAGAAAAACTTTTACAGTTGCAAAACCAACCGTACAGTATGAAAACTTAGCACAAGAAAGTAAAAATAACGACGCAGCCATGCAAAAGGCAATGAAAAGTGCAGAATATATAAAAGCTAATAATGACTGGTTAGATGCCCAAGCCAACGCTAAAGCAGCCCAACTTATAGGGTCAATAAGGACAAAAATACAAGCGGATGAAGACAGTTCAAATGAAGCTTTAATGAATGCTGACTTTAAGAATGCCTTCGAAGCTCTTCATAGTAAGGTGAAACTAGTGAACGACTTCTCATCTGGAAAGAAACTGAAGTCTGAAGGTTTCGACAACGAGTTAAGAGAAGTAGCACAAAATATGACGAAAATAACAGATGCAGCAACGAGACAGGCAGTTCAAAGTGCCTATGACGCCGTTAGAGCAACTGTTGTGGAAAGTCAAGAAAAAGAGTTACAACAGACCAAAACAGACCTAGTAAATGCTTTCTTAAAAACGAAAAGTCAGGTAGGACATTATGCTGCAGATGGAACATATGTGCCAGCTGGTGGAACTTATATACCACCAAACCCTCCAAGAGAAGCACCTGCACCCGGACTACCTAAAACATTTACATCGTCACATGGACACAGACACAGGCATGCACCAAAACCAACACAACAACCAACAGTTCAAAATCCAGCACAACAACCAACAGTTCAAAATCCAGCACAACAACCAACAGTTCAAAACCCTGCACAACAACAACCACAACCAGCACAACAACCAACAGTTCAAAACTCTGCACAACAACCACAAACAGAGCAAAGACACAAAAGAAGTAGAGAACAAGGAAACCAAGAATTCTTAAAAATGCTTAAGGAAGATTATGGTTACCCAGATACTCTTGACTTTAGTGACAGATATAAAGAAGCTATTAGAAAGTTCAAGGAAGGAAATACTGACCCGAACCTATTTAGCTTTATGGTTCAGCACCAAATGGGATATAATTTCAAACCTGGAAAATACAAGCTCGCTAAGGGATATGATTTAATAGCATATCATCCAAATGACATGAATGAATTTACTCCGAGATATTTGGTGTCAGAGATAAATGATAATTCAACTCTCTTCATGAAACGCGTAAAAAATAGAGACGGAACGAAAGAAGAAAGGCTTATGAATGCGGATGACTTAAATAGGGAACTTGTTGAAAACGGTCTCGGAATATATGAAATACCAGCAGATGAGGTACAAGAAACTCCACAGGAAGAAGTTCAGATACAACCAGACATGGAAGAAATAGTTCAGCAACAACAGCTAGAAGAGCCTGAAGGAAACGAACAAGTCCCTCCTTTGGAAACTAACTTCACAGAACTAGATGAAGATTGGAACAGCCGAAAAAATCTTGACCCTCAACAAGAGTATGAGGTGAATATGGAATCTTTCCAAGAGTCTAAGAAAAAAATTCGGCTGACATAGTAGAAGAATATCGAAAAATGTTCGCCGACATACAAAAGACTCCAACATCAGATGAAAATATTCAGCATAGAATGGAAGTACTGAAAGATAATGTACACAAATACAATAATCCTTTTACTTACGACCATATAACGTTCAATCTTTGGCTGAACTCGGTGAAAATAAAAGGTTAAATTTCAACAAAACATATAGAAATGAAACATTGTTTAAAGTTCATTCAGAACCTAACCAATATGGAAACAAACCTACTTTTGTTTCTGCAGACTATGGAACTACAATGAGATGGGTCATAAGCTAATCCGGATAGGTGGTTCATAAACTTACAACCTCAATTCCAAGAAGTTGTAGACGCAATGGAAGTGAATGGTGAACCAGATATAGCTGGTATTTTCAGCGCGGCTTTAATGCCATTGAAAGATATGAAAGATGCAGATATTTTGGACCAGTATGAAATGAACATGGCTGATGGAAATATAACACCTGACGTCTAAAACATTTATCTCAAAGAAACTACACAGAACCATAGAGATGGTATATTTGTTGTGAAGAGTTTAGAAAGAAAGTTAGGGAGAGAGAAGGAAGAGAACCTATTGTACATGACCTTGCAAACGAAAGTTTGCAAAATGTCATAAAAACTTACTTTGCAGACAATGAACTGAGAAGGGATGAATATTTAAGAAAACTCAAATGGACAGTACCAAATGAAATGGTAGGATTGAAAAAACATGTTCCTTGACAAAATAAAACCAACTACAGAAATAAATGACGCAAGACTGAAACATTGGGTAAAAGCTTTCCCATTCACAAAAGATATTATTGGTAACATGGAAAGAAAACCAGAATGGCTACAAAAACATATATTTGGAAACGAGCATATTCCATATGGACAAGCTATATTTGAAGAGCTTGAACCGGAAACTCAGGAAAGAGTCATGCAAACAATACGCGAAGACTCAAATACAAACTATGACAAAATCTTTCTAGGATATAGGTTACCTGAGATGGGCGACCAGAGCCCAAAGGCAAAAAGGACATGGGAAATTTACAACATACTAGGTGAACATGAGGCAAAGATGCAACAACTTGAAGCAGAGGGCAAGTTACCAAAAGCGACACCAAAGAAGAAGAGAAGAGTAGAACAAAGTGAAAGTAGTGAAGAAGTAACTTCATCTAGTGAAAGTAGTGGCAATGAAGGAAAAAGAAGAGTTAAAAACTCAGTCAGGAAGAAAGTAAAGCTTGGTACGAGTGGGTTCTATTATGACACATAAATCCAACTATTCTATATTTTTACCCATATGAAATGTACGCCGCTCAGAATATAACGCAACAGTTTTGGATGCCATGAACGGAAATGTTTCCGAATGGTATAACGAATGCGACAATGCCATTAGAAGGTCAGAAATAGTTCCTGGAACTTACGAATATACAACTGCTGTTTCTTATGGAAACGTAGGTGAGTTTGGAGAAGGTTCTTCAACAACAGTAGATATTGCTTGCGACAGGTTTCATATTATTTCTATTGACAACTCATTCTTATACGTGGAACAAGACATTGAAATAAAACCTTCTGCCAAGTTGTCTGACAAGAAAGGTTGCAATGGAATTTTCTATGTCGGATACCAATATGCTCCAGAAGTTTTCATGGGATATAAGATATATTCTAACTCTGACTTAGTTCAAACAGTAACATGGGCAAACTATGAATGGTTCGCTTTGAGAAACTCAGTACAACCACAAGCTAGAGAACAAACAGACCAGTATGCAACTATTGAGAAAATAAGAAGACTTGACCCTAACGTTCCAGGAGTTTATGTTAACCTTTCTGGACAAACTGCAGCAGCAGTAACCAAAGTAAAACTGAAACTTAGAGTTCCTTTGTCATCTTTCCTCATCTTCAGGTTTTTAAGATACTTGCCAAACTGGGCAGGAAAAATTTCTATCGAACTTACTCCAAGCAAAAATAACTTAGTCATTGCACCAACACAAGACCCATTCACTATTACAGACGTAAAGGGAACAAATCAAACGTCATTCGCCGAATTTTGCAAAGACAAAGTTGACTTAGACTTTGGTTTCTCAAACTTCAACACTGCAGTAAACTATTATTTCAATGCTGCTGGAGATGCTTGGGACCCAGTTAAGTTCACATGCGAAAAATTTGAATGCAAGAGAATAGAAAGCAGACTTGCAGTCTATATGTTGGACCCAGATATTTCAAATGCTTTAGCTGCCAAATATATTGCAGTTCCACTTATGTTCCCTATACACCAAATATCTGTCAAAGACTTTGCAGGTGAAGTTGGAAACCAAAGTGCTGACCCAGGTGCAAGAACAGATATTGCTTTAACAACTGCAATGAAACATGCAGATACTATGTTTGTACTGTTCAGACGAACTATAAATGACTATTCTTGTTTCTACAACCCTGGTATTAAATATCATATAAACATAGATGGCAAATATTATCCAAGAGAAGAATATTCTACAGTTGAGGATATGAGGTCATACAACTTGACATTAGATGCTATGAACTTTAACAACAACTTCACAACAACCATTAACCCTGAAATGCAAAGTTCTATTATGCCATATGTGAAAGTATGGACTCATACAGGAGGTCAAAAAACTCAATATACAAATGGAGACCGTTCAAACTTTTGGCTTGGCATTCCATTTGCTGACTCAGAAGACTTTATGGGTGGTATTTCAACTGTTGGTACAGTTCAAATACAATATACTGGTGACAGAGACGGTCCAGATGAATTGAGAGCAAAGAAGTTTACAAAACCAATAGCACTTTTCACGGAAGATGCTCTTTTGAAGATTCGTTCGATGAAACCTGCTGGGGCTCCTCAGATTGGCATAACGACAGCTTCCATCGAGCAGATTGGCAGCAGGTCAGTAAGTTGTTCTTGAACTGACTTCTCTCCGTCAAATATTGACAGTACGCCAGTTTTGACATAATATTGTATTATAAACTTTCCTTTAGTAATATCTGTAAGTTTTGAAGTTATATTTTTGTCTGCTTCAAGAACTTTCACCATTTCAGTTATACCAACTTTCTTTGCTTTATGAAAATATTTTGGTTCAGCAAATATTGCTATTCTATAACATTTTCCATTGTTTGTGTAATGAACTATTCTGTCAATGTATTTGTATTGTTTGTGAGTATAAATTTTGTTCTGCTTCAATTCAATAAGATATCCGAATACGTCCATCTTTTTATTCTAAGTAAAATGTCATTTCCGAAAAATAGAAGCGTAAGTGTTTCAAAAGGTTTAATGGCGGTGGCAGATGTGAAGTTAAATTCACCAACTCAAACAAACAGTCAAAGTGTTATTGTCAATGTCAAAGACAGAGATGTTGAAGTGGGGAAACCATACGAAGACGAAGATGGTATAACAATTGTTCCTGTAAAAGAACCAACATATCCTGAAGTTAACAGAGACTTAAGTTCTGTTGCAGATATTCGAAACGACTACCAACAACTGAAAGACAAACTTCAAACTCAGGAGAAGATTTGTCAAGCTTTAAGTATAATGTTAAACTTGGTCGAACACAACCCTGTAAAAGTGAACTCATATGTCATTGCACCTCATGAAGTTTTGAAAGAACTATTGAAACTTTTGACAGAGGCAGACGATATAAACATCAAAGAAATAGAACCCGACATTGGTTGCTGTGGTGTTTCATATAATGTCATTGACAAGATATACGTTATGAAAGGAGGTGAAACGTTGAACTTAAAGTATAGTTTCCCAGACGTCATAAAAATATTTGACGACCACAACATTTCATTAAAATTTATTTGCTAAGTAAATGGCAGAAGACATAATGGTTTATACTATTACGACTAAAAACCCTGAGTCATATAATTCTATAACAACAAACTTACAAAGTCCTCAAGGACGATATTGTAAACTAACCTTAAACACAATGACGACTAAAGCCTGTTTTGCTCTTTTGACACCAGAAGACTTTATTGTTGTGAATGGTAAAAAATACTCCTTTGAAGATACTTACTCAGATATACCACCAACAGGCTTTGTTGACTTATTCAATACTTTAAATACGGGTGTAACATGTGCTGCAACTAGAGCAGGTTTCATTATGTTTGGATGTCCGACTGAGTTTACTATTAATGATATGAGCTATAATACAAAACTTATATCTGGTTTTTACTACCAACAGTTTCCTATAACAGGAAAAGGTGTCATACAAGGAATGTCTATTCCATTGACATTAAGCACACTAATCTTATATATTGTTTCAAACTTAGGTTCAAAGTGTTATTCGAATGTCGACAGAAACTATTATGACCAAAAGATACTTATGCGTATAAACAATACTTTCTCTGCTGGTTTGCCTATTGTTCATTCGAATGCAGAATTTTCAACCTTAGTGAACTCAAACACTTTGGCAAGTATAACGTTGACATTAGTTGACGCAAACTTTGTTCCTGTAAAACTTTTATGTCCTATGTATTTGTCAATGACGGCAGAAAGTTTCGAATTGGAAGATGCAACTGGTGAAAGTATTGTATTACAAGAACAACTTCAACAACAAATAGCTCAAGAACAACAAATGCAACAAATGCAACAACAAAGTCAAGAATAAAAAAATAATATTTTTTTTTATTTTTATAAAAATGTACAGAATAGATGTTTCAGATTTTTATGACTTCCAAGCATTCAGAAATATGTGTCCATTTCGAGACTATAACAAAGCAGTCGAGAATTTGAAACGTTTAGTCATTTATGTCGACTCTGCCCCAGAATGTTATGTCATGAAATAATGGGATGTTGTCTTTAACAAACCAAGAGCAACAATAGTGTCTGAACAAGAATGTAGACAGAAACTTAAGAAAATAAAAGTTGTACAAGTTGGCATGAAGATGTTAGATGCTTGGGATATCTTATTGTCAAAACTTGAAGATTTTTCAGTTCGTGGTATAAAGTTTTATACACCTTCTCCAAACTTCTATTCTATCTTCACTGGATATAAATATGAACAAGTAGAATGGAAAGAAAATATTATAGAAGCTTGGTTAGACCATGTCAAAGAAATTATATGCAATGGAAACGAAAAGGTTTATGAGTATATCTTATGTTGGTTTGCAAACATCTTACAACATCCAAGTGCTAAAAATGAAACTGCTCTCATTATAATTGGAAAACAAGGAACAGGTAAGAACACATTCTTTACAGATATTTTGTGCAAACTGTTAGAAGGTTATTCGAATCCGAATATGACAAACTTAGAAAACATCTGCGGTAAATTTAACTCTTCAATTGAGAATATGAAACTTATAGTTTGCAATGAACTTCAAAGTATAGATACAACAAAAGTTTTGAACTCAGATGCTTTGAAGAGTCTTATAACAGACAAAGTTGGAGTTGTTGAAAGAAAGTATAAAGACCAAAGAGTTTGTGAAAATGTTGCAAACTTCATTATGGTTTCAAACAATGCTGTTCCGATGAAGTTAGAAAGTTCTGACAGAAGATATGTAGTTGTCAGAACGTCAGATTCTCATATGCAAGATACAGAATATTTTGACGACTTAGCAGAAACTTTGACATCTGACTTTTACAACCACTTGTTCTCATATTTCATGACATTAGATATTTCTAAGTTCAATCCAAGACAAATTCCACATACCGAAGAGAGACAAACATTGTTAGAAGCAAACAAGAGTGTATATGAACTGTTCATAGATGAAACTGACTTTGTGTCATTAGATGAAAGGTCATTGTACGATTCGTATAAACAATATTGTCAAGAATATGGTTATATGACAGCTTCTAAACGAACATTCTTGGCAAATGTCAAAAGTCTTTTAGATGTTCAGAATGGTGTATATACAAAGAAAAATTTTTCTGAGTAAATTTTAAAAAAAAATATTTTTTTATCCGATAGAAAAGATGACAAAATTCATCTCAGTAAATAAGTACATGTCAGGACTTAAAGAAGAACTAGACCCATTCACATATTTGAATGTTTACTTCTACCATTTTGAAAAGTCTTCATTCAGCAAAGTTTGGAACATCGAACCAGTTAAGTTTGCTATTGTGACTAAAAATGGTGCGAAATTTGAAGACTTAGACATAGAAGGTTTGTTAACAGTCAAAGAAAGTTTTGACAGAAGGTTCTCAAACCTTAAAGAAGGCAAAGCATACAAACTTGTTATACCTTATGAACCAAAGAAAGCAGACGACTATGAATATTATGAGTCTAAGATAGTTGAAGTTCAAGGTAAATTGGGTAAAAAGATTTTAGAGTCTAAGCCAGTGTTTACTCCTAAAGAGGAAGAGAACATTGACATTGACCCAGAAATGTTCTAAAAATAAAATTTTATTTTTACATGTCAAATTTCTTTTTCTCTGGAACTGGTTCAGGTTCTTTCTTCTCTTCTACTTTTTTCTCTTTCTTTTCTTTCTTCTTCTTCTCTGGTGGAGATATGTCAAATTTCTCAGAACCATATTTATGTATAAGTTCTTTGTCCTTTAATAGCTCATCTATTTTGTTTTCTATTTCATCTTCAAGAACAGCGCATGTGTCTTCTTTGCATTCTAAGAACTTTTGTTGGACTTCATCTTTCCAATCGGTGTCATCTCTGTCAACAAGTCTGTCATTGACAAATTTTAAGACTGCTCTGCTTAATGTTTTATGGTTCTTGTCATATTCCCAAAAACAGAACTTTAGAACAAATTCCCCTTTCTTGTTTACACTATGTAAGATTTTATGGTCGACAGATGTTTTGCTGTCGAAAAGCTTGTCTCGAATATAGATAGCGAAATCGCTAGACATTTTCTAAAAGATAAAAACTTTAATTTTTCTAAAAATATGTTAGAAAAAAAGTTTGCTGACATTGACAAGAAATTTGAGAATGTTTTAAACAAGAACAAGAGGAAGTTAGAAAATGCTCAGATAAAGCCTATACATGACAAGTTCTTATTTGCTCAGAATGGTATAACAGGTCTAATTGCACCACCTGGGTCGGGTAAGACTTTCACTTATCTTAAAATAGCTGCACAGCAACAAGAACTAGATGAGAAGAACCCATTCTATGAGTTAGTTGTTATTTGTAGTACTTCTGGTCAATTTGACCAAACCGTCAATTCGTTCAAAGATATTATAAAGAAGTCTAAGTTAGTATGTATAAAGGATACTGAGTTGTTAGATTGGATAAAGAAGTACCAAAGAAGAGTTTTGAAGTATAATGCTATAAATGAGTATATAAATTCTAAGTTTAAAGACCCAAATGAGGAAATGCAGAGAATATTAGAGAAGAAACACTTCAGAAACAAACAGAAAGAGATAGAATACATTTCGAAGAAATTGCAATCTTACGATTGGAAGACTTACCCTCATAGATGTCTTCTTATCTTAGATGATTTCGCCTCTCATCCTTTGTTAAAGAACAGAGAACAAGACATGTGTCGAATTCTTAAGAAGCTCAGACACTTTAACATCTCAGTTGTCATTTGTGTACAGACAGCAAAGAGTTTAAGTAAGGATGTTAAAAGAATACTTACTGACATAATACTTTTCCCCGGATTGTCCGAAGACGATTTCATGGAACTTATGAAAGAGTCCATGGCAGGTAAGTTTGACAGACATGAACTATGGGAGAAGTATAAAGTCATACAAGACCCTCATACTTCTTTCAGAATTCATATCTACGCAAACAAAGTTCAAATTGTAAAAAGTCAAGCTTGAAAAATAAAGAGTTCATTTACTTTGCTTGTTTGAAGTTGTCAAAATACTCTGTTATTTTTTCCTTTAACAATGACAAATCTTCTTTGAATGTAAGTATTGTACAACCTTTAATATCATAGTGTGTTTGAGGTAACGTATCTTGAACTATTTGTTTCACATCTTCATTTGGGGTCATTGAAATCGGTAAGTTTTCGCGATAGAACCAATTTCTGTCAGATTTGTAAATCTTAGCAAGGTCGTAAAAGCTCTTGTTGTTTCTTCTGACTAAATGCAACATAACCATATCTCTGTCTTCTTCATTTTCCATCTCTTCAGTATAAATCATATACTTATAGTTCTTTTCCTTTCCTTTTGGTACCGAACGTGGTATTCTTTTCTGAATGTTTTTGTCTTTTGCTTCAAGCTTGTTTTCCATCTCTTCACGTTCTTGTCTATGAATTTCGTCAAGAAGTCTGTAAATATACCAAGCATAACGAGGCGAAGCCCACATTGCAACAGCATTTACAAGAAGTCTATGTACATAATATCCTCTCAAACCGTTTGGCAATTTTTCACGATTTTCATAGAGTTTTGGCGACTGGGGTTTTTTACTTACTCGAGTTTTTGCGACTACGAAAAAATCCGTAGTCGAATTTTCAGCTTCATTTAATAGTTCAATAGTGCTTTGGTTCCTAAACCAGTCTTGTGGTTTCTTAGTATCTGGAGCAAAACATGCTGTCAAAATACTTTGCATTTGGTACATATTGTCTTTGACCGAACGAATGAGACGGAGTTGTTTGTTAAACTGTATGTACTCGTATTCTTCATTTATAGCTTCATGGACTATAACTGTTGTTGTGTTCTCTGTTGTTGACATTACTGTCTTTACATACAAAATAAAAAAATAAATAAAAATAAAACTAACTTTATTTTTTCTATCTTATGAAAATTCATGATTTTTGTGCTGAATTCAATAAAAATATATTTTAGGTGAAGCCCACATTGCAACAGCATTTACAAGAAGTCTATGTACATAATATCCTTTCAAACCAGGAGCCAAATTCTTGCGATTTTCGTACGGAATCTCTTCCCTCGGTTTTCCGAGGGAAGCAATCATATGAGGAAATTCATGATTTTTGTGCTGAATTCAATAAAAATAATGTTTAGGTGAAGAGGTGAGATTTCACCTCTTTTTTCACCTCATTTCTACCCCAGTTATTTTATAAACGTTTCACATGGTAAACGTTATTTTTTAAATTTTGTGAAAACTCAACGGTTTGACACAAGCCATATGCCATTTTACTCAGAATTTTGTTGCTGAATTCAATAAAAATATATTTTAGGTGAAGAGGTGAGATTTCACCTCTTTTTTCACCTCATTTCTACCCCAGTTATTTTATAAACGTTTCACATGGTAAACGTTATTTTTTAAATTTTGTGAAAACTCAACGGTTTGACACAAGCCATATGCCATTTTACTCAGAATTTTGTTGCTGAATTCAATAAAAATATATTTTAGGTGAAGAGGTGAGATTTCACCTCTTTTTTCACCTAATTTTTCACCTCTTTTTTTCACAAGCGTTTTACATGAATTGTACGATGTATATTTGAAATCCTAAACAGTTTCGTAGCTTCTATTTCTTCTTTTAGTACATCGAATGTTTTAACAATGCCGAAAGTTTCTTTATACTTCTTCTTGACGTCAGATAAAAGGAAATCGTCAGCAGTTGGATAGTTTTTGTTCAGAAATTCTAACATGTTCATTTTATCTTCTGCTGGCTTTTCTGCTTCTTTCTTTAAGTCTGCATAGTCGTTTCTCATACGTTCTATCTCTTTGACGGAGTAGTTATATCTCCTCATTGCTGCTTTACATTTAGAACATTGCGGGTTCATTTTTGCGTTATATTCTGAAACCTTACCTGCTAAAACAACTAAAGCGTCAATTGCTCTCTTCATCTCAAACATAGCGGGTCTTATTTGTTTGTTCCATACTTTGCCTCTTCTATCTTTATCTCTTATTTCCCAAACACATTCAGCAACTAACGAAACAAAGTTGTCGTAGGTCTTAAATTCTTCAGATTTATATATGTCAGAAACATTCTTATATACCATGTCGCAATCTTTGTCCATAACTTTATGGTTGCAATGAAAACCAAGGAATTCATAATTTACCTTTCGTATGAACTTCTTTATTTCTACTGAGTCAGTTGGTTTGACTTCAATTTCGTCAAATTCAGGAATAGTGAGTTTTTGTTGTTGGATTTCAGGTAGTTTAGGCAAATGGTCAATAATGTCCTGCATTTCATAAAGATATTCTTCATTTTCTTCATCCTGTGCGGTACAGTCTAAATTACTTGTTAAAAGTTCTTGCTTTATCTTCTGGATTTCTGTTTCAAAAGTATATGAAGAAGGAATAAAGCTTTTCATCTCTACTAACATTGACGTAGGATTCATAACTAACGAGTTTGGTGCTGTTGTTTGAATTGTTGTTGTGCCGATTGTTGAAATCATATCTTTTATACAAAATAAAAAAAATAAATAAAATAAAACTAACTTTATTTTTTCTATCTTAAGGAAATTCATGAAAATTCACGAGGGTAGAAATGAGGTTAGAAATGAGGTTAGATCTAACCATCTACCCGACATTCTCGTCAAATACAAAAAAATGAAGAATAACTTTCACTTTTTCATTATATAACTGTTATTTTTGACGAAGTGAAGTTTTACACTTCGTCAGAAAAATCCCTGAAATCATATCTTTTATACAAAATAAAAAAATAAATAAAATAAAACTAACTTTATTTTTTCTATCTTAAGGAAATTCATGAAAATTCAAGAGGGTGAGAAAACAGGTGAAAAAACGGGTGAGATCTCACCTCTTCACCTAAATTATATTTTTTGGTGTAAATTTCCTAAACTGACTGACTGACTGACGGCACAAAGTGGCATAACGAAAACATTAATATATAAAATTCATGAAAATTCAAGAGGGTGAAAAAACAGGTGAAAAAAGAGGTGAAATCTCACCTCTTCACCTAAACATTATTTTTGCTGAATTCAGCAACAACTTTCTCTCAATTGGAGCTGTGGCATACTCTTTGCGTAAGCGGTTCAGACCTTCTTCGAACTCTTGGTCTCTCTTGGACTGAGATTGGAATTGGAATTGTTGGGGTGGAGCTTGCTGGAACATCCAAGGGTTGGGGAAGTAACCTTGAGGTGGAAATTGGTAGTAATTCGGAGGTACTTGCTGGGACTGAGGTGCAGGGCTGGTGCTTTAGGTTCCTCTGGTTTGGGAATGGACTCGGTTGGTGGTACGTCGGACATCCGTTTGTGTCCTGTCGGAAGGAAGAACTTTTCCTGTCGGACATCCGTTTGTGTCCTGTCGGAAGGAAGAACTTTTCCTGTCGGACATCCGTTTGTGTCCTGTCGGAAGGAAATTTTTTTCCCTTTGTCCGGAAAATTTTTTCCTGTCGGATGGAAAATTTTTTCTCAAGTTCGACCAAAAAGTTCTCAATTTTCGAAAATTTGAATGGTTTACGGACGGACAACTGGAAGAGTTCTTCCTGTCGGAAGGAAAAATTTTTCCCTTTGTCCGGAAAATTTTTTCCAGTTGTCGGGAAAATATTTTCCTGTCGGATGGAAGGACTCGGAATGCCAGAAGGATTTGACGAGGCAATTTACCTAATTGAAATTAACGACTGCGTAAAAGACTACTTGCGCAAGGTAATGAAGCCCAAGGTCAAGTTCACCACTATTTCTGGAAGGTCTACACTTCAGCTCGAGACTTCGACTGGAATTCCAATTCAAATACCAGAAAACACTCCTTTCGACGACATAAAGGACGCCAAAAGAGAAGCTCTTGTTAAGTTCCTAAACAAACGTCCTTGGATAAAAATACCAAACAAGGAGAACCCCCTACCCCATATGAAATTGGCAATTCAGTCTCTCCTTCACTTCTCGGGTCAACCATTCTACATAACCTGTGAAGGCGACATCCAACCAGTTCAGTAAACATCTCATTTTAACTCACTTTTTTAATGTTTTTTGTGAAAGTGTCAAAAATAAATTGTTTTCATGAGTTTTCTACGATGTTAGAAAAGTGGTTAGAAAACGTGTTAGATCTAACATGCTAACATAAACATTATTTTTCAATACTTTTTCAGCACTTTTCCGTAGTTATATATGAAAGACAATTCGAGATAAAAGTCATAGTACAATGGAATAATATGTTGCACACCATTTGTTGTGAACCAAACTTGAAAGTCAGAGAAACTGTTACTAGGTGGTTCGTAGAATTTAGAAGCAAAGTCATAAAAGTCCTTACCAATACATAGAAAACTATTGTTGCTTGAACTGAAACTTGCATGACACATAACATTTTGAGGGTCAAACACGTTTCTATAAACTGTCAAATCTGCTGGTGGAAGTATAAATTTAAATGGACCATCTGGTGGTAATGGTTCGTTCTGGTTTAGTAACCGAAGAAATTGTGCCCAAGAACGTTTGTCTACTTTCCAAAATAAAAACTCTGTATCTCTTGGAGGGTTAATTTCAATCTTTTGAAATGAAACGGTGGAGTTCATCTTGTCATATTCTAGTTTCAGATAGTATGTTCCATTTAGTAAAGAGTCGTATTTTTCTTGAAATTCCCAATAATATTTGTTCATTTGAGTTTGAAAGTCATTTAGAGTTTTCTCAAGACTTTCGTCTGAACGAACTGTAAAGATTCTCATTTCGTCAAATTTGTCTATTAGACCATCAGAACCTTTATACTGCCCATGAAAATATACTGCGAACATAAATGCGTTAGTTCTATTTGAAAACAAAACTCTTCTAAATCCTATTGCCTTTGCATCTGAAGGACTTTGAAGCCAACGAATTGGATAGTCAAACCTGTATGCTCGGGATGAAATTTCTTCATCTGAAATAGTCCTACCAGCATTTGTAAAGATATAGTCTAACGGTTTTGTATCTGCTACTTTTGTTCTTTGTTTTTCAACCTGAAGCATTTAATATATGTAAAAATATATTGTTTTAAAATGGTATGCCATTTCATATTTCTCATCTAACAAACAAGTTTCCCAACGGTCTTCTCCAACAAACTCAGCGTACAGTTCAAATAAAATTTAAAAATGTCACTTTTTTAAAAAAAAATTTTTTACTTCATGCAATGTTTTATTTCTGTGCCGTCTTCAAGTATGCCCCAATATTTCCGTTTCGATATTACATGAACTTCGGTGAAAATTTTGTCCAATTTGAATCGACCCATCTTTTCACCGACTAAACCCATTTCAATGAGTTTGTTGTATCCTTCTTCGTTCGTCATGAGTGCGTCAATGTTCTCATAGTAAACCTTGACTTTCGATTTGACTTCGGAGAAGAATTTGTTGTACTCGTCAAGGACTGCCTTTGCGAACTGAGGGTAAGACCAATGTTCGACAATAGGTTTTAATGTGGTTACTAAGCCACTTTGACCTTGAGTGAATTCGTACTTCAAAACAAAAGGAGAAAACCTTTCAACAAAGTTGTCGACCTTCTCATAATGTTTACTCTTCATCTCTTGAGGTTTCTTAATGGAATATCCCCATGTCGAATTCATAAGCAATTTGAGTGTCATTGCAAGTTTGGGGTTTGAAGCTTTCCTAATATCATACAGTTGTTGTATGACTTTTCCAACTGTATAGTTCCTTCCCGGGAACTCACCATCTTCGTTTGGAATTCCAGTCGGAATATATTGGACAAACCTCATGTATGCAGCGTTAAGGTCGACATAGTATATCTTTTCGTTTGAGTCGAACTTGTCGCAACCAATTGGTCCAGTTTGTGGAAATTCAAGTGAGTCTCTTATCTTCTGAGAAACTTCTCCTGTTATCTCATAAACATCGTCGAAGCAACCTGTTTCATATAAAACCTTCTGACCTAACTCAGATGCTCTCCAATACAATTTGACGTCAATTGGATGTCTCAATGGAAGTTTGTTTATAGCATCTTGAAGTTCTTGCAACCTCATTGGAAGTTCTTCTGGTTCAGGTTGGTATCCGAACATACCAACCCCTTGTGGAACTGTGTACTTCTTTTGTACTAGAACTTTGTCTGGAACAACTTTTGGTCTTGCTAACAATGAAAAGTTTGTTTCGTCTTTTGGTACAAAACTTTCTGTAAGCTTGTCATCTGGAATTGGTTCCAACAAACCTTTCTCGAAAAGAATGTCTACAGCTCTGACAATGTTGCACTTGCCTTTCCGAACAATGGGTTTGTAAGACTTTCGTTCAACATGAAGTGGTTGTGGACAATTACAATCTTCAACATGGTAAATTGAACTCAACAACATAGTCGTCATGTGAAGAACCTTTAGCTGTAGGTATGTTGACTCGGATATTGACATTTGCCAACGGTGCAATTTTTGCCAATTGACCTCTGAGAATGTACCTTGTCTTCACACATGACTCAAGATACTTCATCTTCTCTTCTGTAACAAGACCAGAGTTCCTGAGACATGTAAGAATGCAAGGTTCATTGACAATTGTTTCAATTGAATTGTAAATTCCATACCTTGTCAAGTCAATGTCAGACTTATTTATGAAGGGGAAGTATCCAGCATGTTGTCTGACTGCTTGAGGGTTAGGTTGGTACCATTCGAACTTGACACTTGCAATTCCTTCAATTGCATTCAAAATGTCTGAGTCGGAGTCAACCATTTGTTCTCTCTTTGTAGTCTTGAAAGCGTCAAGAAGTTTTGCGGCTGTGTTGTCATTGCCATGTGCATAGTAAATGTGAACCATCCAAATCTGTTATGGTCAATCTGAGATTGTGTCCTTTCTTATTTGCCGTCTTGTATGGCAGCAAGTACTCCCATGAAGCCTTCTTGTTCTTTCCTTCGTCAAAGTTTACTGTAAAGGTTCGACCAGATGTAATTTGACTTCTAACTTCACGATACTTTTCATATGCATATCTTGTTCTTTCCATGGGAGCATGTGCAATCTTCACCTTTTCCTTTTTTCCTTCTCAAAGGATGCAATTGTTCGTCATGTTTCCAGTAGAATCTGGCAAAGCCGTCGTGTCCTTCAACTTGAGGTTCACTAACATCGAAAGGCATGTCCATAAGACGTTCTTCTTCTAACCTTCTAGTCTGTTTGGATAATTTGCACGTGCTGTTTCCAAATCCATTTCGTAGCGAAGACCAGACAATTTTGTCATAGACTTTTATGGGTCTTCCCTTCCTATATATTTAAAATTCTTCGAAACTCTCCAACCATATCTTTGTAACTCTGCTTTTATTCTAGCAGACTTTCTATCCATTCTATATGGCGGCATTTTTATAAAAATAAAAAAAATATATTTTTTCTTTTACTTAACATAACCGCCTGCTGCCATAAGCTTTGACGCCAACCCATACCAGCTAATGAAGGTTGACTTGGTTTAGTTTCCAAACTAAACTTTGGTTTTGGTTTATCTTCAGTTTTTTTTTTTCTTCTTCTATCGGTTTTTCGTCACTTTTCGGTTCCTCTGACTTTACTTCACTTGCAGGAACAGTTGTGTCGTCAACATCTTCATAAATATCATATGCCATTTGTTTTTGTTTTCCTTTCAACTTTTTGTGTTTGTTGTAAAGTTTAGAATATTTCGACTCTAAGTCAATGAGATGTTCTATAATGAACTGTTGGTCAGTGAAGTAAACTTTTCCATCTGTTGTCTCGAAAGCTCCTTCAGACTTCAATATTTTATTGTGAGAGTCTGTTCTTTTTTGAGATACTAGCCATTCCATTTTTATGAAAGTGACTTTGTAGTTAGGGTTTGTATTTCCAGACCTGGCACTTTCTATTATTGAATTTTTCTCTTCATCTGTAAGTTCTTTGACGGGTTTTGACAATGGTCTGAACTTTTTGTTTGTGGTCAAATCTACCGTTTCAACTTCTTCGGTCATTTCATCTCAGTTAAAAAATTTTAGTTTGGTTTGTTTTCAACTGGTTGTTGTTGTTTTTTAAGTCGGTCTAAAACTTCCCTGAGGTATAGGAAGAACTTGACAAAACACGTGGTGTAACTGCTGGAAGCCGACAAATCCATCTTGAACTCATTTGTCTCAATGCTGCATTGTTCATTTCATCTCAATAAAAAACTTTACATTCCCCACGTTTGAGGCGGTTGAGGTTGGTTATTGTTTACCCACTGTTGTGCATGGTTATATCCTCTGTTAAAGAATCTTTCACCTTGGTCCATATAGTGTCCTGCTTGGTTATAGTAGTCATTTGCTTTGTTATAATAGTTTCCTGCTTGTCTTCCTACATTGTCCATCCATCCTTGAACTTTTCCTCTTGTTTCAGGATTTGGAATAAGATTTGTTGCATCTCGTGCTACCTCCCAACCTTTC